TATTGTTATTATCATTTTTTTTTTAAATATATATTTTCGTTATTATTAATGATAATTACTATTTTCTTCTTATGTTTTATTTTGCAAATAGCAGAAAAAATATATACAGCTATACTGCTTTATATTGTTGTATTATTATTGACATTATTATTAGTATTGTATATTTACTGTTATTATTATTATTATTAATATTGTTATTATCAATATTATTGTTATTATATAAATTACACCATCATAGGTGGTTATTGTTATATCATCACATTATTATTATATTAATGTTATTATGCTATAAAGTATACCATCATAGGTCTTTACGCGTCATCAGTTTGTAACTGCTTGTAAATGTCCCGCACGAATGTATATATTTACAGTTATATTAGAGTGGAAATATATTGATTTGATTTTGATTTGATTTGATTTGAAAGAAAGGCGATTGAATGGTGAAAGTGTTACGGTAAGGTATGACAAAATTGTTTATATTAAAACTTCTTTTAAAAGCAATTTTAACGAATAATTTTATGGGCATTCCTAAAAAGAAATCTTAAATAAAATATATTAATCATGGCTACAAATGAAAACTTTGAATCTCGTGTTTTTAAAATTCAAAAAACAAATTACTCTACGTTAAATGAAAACTTAGACTCTGATAACAATATTTATCACAATAAATTTTCAGGTTGTTCATATTACTTTCCTAGCCAACTAGAAGGGTTTCTTTTTAAGAATGAGCGTGAAAGAAATAATAATCAAATGTTAATTCTCCACCTCAATATAGGAAGCCAAATAGCAAATTTTGAAAAACTTTTAGGCTTATTAGAAGAAACTAAACATGTTTTTAATATAATTTGTTTAACGGAAAGTTGGACTTCTTTAGAAGACCTAAATAAGTTTCATCTACCTCATTTTAATACAATTTCAATGGAAAGGAAAACAAATAAGCGCGGTGGTGGAGTTTTAATTTATCACGAAATTTATTCACGAAAATTTTGAGCATTGTTTTAGGCATGATTTAAGCGTTTCTGACTGCGATAAAGAAATTGCAAATATAGAAAGTACTGACTGCAACAAAAAATTTTTTTTACTAAGCTGTTGTTATCGGGCACCTGATGGCATAAGCGAAAACTTTAGCATGTTTTTACAACAAATTAATAAAAAAGGTACCGTTGAAAAAAAGCAAAATTTTATAATTGGAGATTTAAACATGAATTGTTTTCTTTATAATGATAACCTTAAAGTTAAAAATTTTTATGATGAAATTTTTGAAACGAGTTCAATATCTTTAATAAACAAACCTACAAGAGTAACGATAAATTCAGCTCTAATAGATAATATAATAACTTCAGATATTTTCAACAATGATTTAAAAGTAGGTATTTTGCGAACCGATATATCAGATCATTTCCCTATATTCCTAAAATTAGATAATACAAACTCTGAAAAAACTCTAACCGCACAAAGAGTAATTCGAAAACGCATTTATAATGAGGCTAACCTTAATTTATTCAAAAATCAACTTTCATTACTGCACTGGAATAACATAAATTTTAATGATAATGCTAACAATATCTATGAGTCTTTTTTCAAAACATTTTTTTCTGTATACGATGCTAATTTCCCAATCATTGAAAATAAAATAACTACTAAGAGTTGCAATAGATGAATTTCAATGTTTACATTTCCGTCGCATGCGCACTAGGTGGCAGGAATAAAAACCGATTTGCAAACATTGAGAACGTTTATTAAACAAACATTGATATAATTAATCTGCTTGCTAACTTAATTAGATTAAAGTTTTTTTTAAATTCTTAAAATATAATGCCTGACAGTTGTTGTGCTATAGGGTGTATGAATAAAAGGATAAAAGGCGATAAAAACTTGAGTTTTTACCGCATTCCTTTTGGAAATACAGAAACATCAAAAAACAGAAGAGTTTTATGGTTGCAAGCCTTTAAACGTAAAAACTGGCCAATAAGTATGATTGATAACGCAAGATTATGTAGTAAAGATTTTATTTCAGGTATTTAATTTTTTTTTTCTTTTGATAACTAGAAGTTTTTATAATATTATTATTATCTTTGTTTTTATTTAGTTTAACATAAGTTCATTATTTTAATAAAATAAATAAGGTTTTAATTTTTTTTCTTCTCTATTTTTAGGCAAAAAATCAGACAATCCTATTAGTCCTGACTATGTTCCATCTGTTTTTTTATACAGACAGCAATCTTTTTCAAAAAAACATCAAAGTATTGAAAGATTTGAAAGAAGTTGTAAAAGAACAAAAAAAAATACTGAAGATAATTTATCTCAAACAAAAGCTAAAAATGAACAGATGTCAGTTAATATTGATGCAGTAACATCAGTCGACCCTTTCAAATTAAATCAAGGTAAATAAGTTTTAATTTAATTTAAGATTTTACTTTCGTTCTTTGATAAAATAAATGGTTACATAATTATGTTTTTAGAATCTCAGACTGATGATGTTAATTTTGTTGCTGAGCTACATTCTAAAGTCAAAACTTTGAGTAAAAATAATGTTGAATTAAAGATTACAATAAACAAAGCTATAACATCATCTGTTTCTCAATATATTTCGTTTGAAAAACTAAAAGATGATAATTCACTTTTATCTTTTTATACTGGTTTGCCAAATGCAAATTTATTTTTGTGGTATTTATCATTGTTTAAAGATTGTGTAAAACCAATGAAAAATATACCAATGGAAGACCATTTATTGCTAATATTAATGAAAATCAAACTTGGATTTTTAAATAAAGACTTGAGCTTTAGATTTGGTTTTTCTGAGCCAACAGTCACTAGAATATATAGATCTTGGCTTCCAATTATTGCTGAAAATGTTAAGTTTTTAATTGTTTGGCCAGAAAAGCATGTTTTGCGAAGAAATTTGCCAACAAGTTTTTGCAAAAAGTTCTATAATTGTGTTGCAATAATTGATTGCATGGAAATACTCATTGAAAGACCTTTTAGTCTTCATGCTCGAGCTCAAACTTGGTCAAATTATAAAAACAACAACACAATTAAATATCTCATTGGTATAACTCCATCAGGTGCTGTAAGTTTTTTATCCCGTGGATGGGGTGGTAGAGTTTCAGATAAAGAAATTACAATTAAATCTGGATTTTTAGAAAAAATAACCCATGGAGATTGTGTACTTGCTGATAGAGGATTTACACTTGTTGAAGAATTTGCTACAAAAGGTGGGATTTTAAAATTACCAAAGTTTACCAAAGGAAAAAAGCAGATGTCTTCTGCTGAAGTTGATGAATTACGTCAAATTGCACATGTAAGAATCCATGTTGAAAGGGTAATTGGACAGTTAAGAAAATTTCGAATTCTTCAGAACATTATCCCATTAACTCAAGTTGATTTACTTGATGATGTTATGGTAACAATAACTTCATTAGTAAATATTAACAGTAGTGTTGTTCCTCTAAGCTCATAGGAGTAAAAAACCTTTTTATTTTATTTATTTTGTATTATCTTACATTTGGATTGTCTCAAGTACTCTTGAGTCCTTAATACAAGGGGAAGGGGGTGGTTTGTCAAGATCTAATGAAAGTAGGGGGTGAGAATTTATACTAAAAGTTTTATTATTTATTAGTTACTAGTATATATTTTGTATAATATTATAAGGCCGATTTTCACTGAATTATTTTTTTTAGTTTCGATAGTTTTAGAAACTTTTTGTTGATAACAAGTGAAAATTAATAAACAGAGTGGTCTTAATAAGCTTAAGGTAGGTGGGAAAGTTTTCAAAAATTTAATAGAAATCCCCCCTACCCTTCTAATAAAGACTCGAGAGTAGTAAATTTTATATTACTAAATAATTGTTAACAGTTTATTGATTTTTTATTTCTGAAAAAAGTGCCAAAATGTCGTTGACAAAGTAAGATATTTAATAAATATAATATATCCTTTAGTTTATTTATATGCATTCCTTGCAGAACCATTTACCTTTAGGGCCATTTTTTATTTCAATACAACTGTAATGAAACCATCCTATTTTGCAGTTTTTTCCGTCGCATCCAATCATTGGTGTAAAACTTGGACGTTTGCAAATGCAGTATGTTTGATCGCTCAAAAGGTTGTTAGGATCATTTTTTCTAGACACTATTTCAGGTAGTAAAAGTTTAAAAAATATTGTTGTCAACTTTGTTTCCAGTTTTTCACAAAAGACCCTATCAATCGGAACATTAATTAACATTGTATCATTTTCATTTTTTCCTTCGGTCCAAATGTAAAAATGGCAGTATGTAGTATTAGTAATATATATTTCTTGCTGCACTTGAAAGTAATACTGGTGTGTTTTCTTTACTGTATTGTCAAAATTTACAGGAAAATCCGTATCTGTTTTCCAATTTTCTAACCCATTTCTATACTTATATGGGCACTTAATTTCCACTACACCGGAACCATGACAATCACAACACACCATACTATCAGGTGAAGCACCAAGACATGGATTTTTGTGAAGAACATGCAATCCAGTTTCTGTAACAACTATATTTGTATGTGTTTTTGCGACAAATTGCTTGTAAGAATTTATTGCTACAGTCTCCATTTTCTTACCATAACTCGTAGGTTTTGTAATGAATTCTGCGTTGTATTGCATCACTGTGTTTATAAACGACTTAGGGTATTTATCAACTTTTATGTTGTACGCAGTTTTTGATAACGATGCTGTTATTCTACCTGCCCTGTGCAACTTCCAGATTCTACTAGCGCTTTGAATATTTGTAACTTCAAGTAAATTGCTGTACATGTTAACACTTTGAGTGATTTTGTACTCCTCGTATGATTCTGCGCAATATTTTGTTAAGGTGGAATCATCTAAATTAATTGATGCAGGCAAATATAGTGAAGTAAGTGGTTCCGGCAAATTATATTCATTGTAACTGTCATCCTCCTTCGCAGTATCGGTATCACTACAATGTTCTTTGCTTTCATTTTTAATGTCTACAGACTGAAGAAAAGCATTCTTATACAATTTTTTTAGTTCTAGCAACTTTTTTTTTTTACTATCTGAAGTTGGTGTAGGATCCTTAAAGCTGTAAGGTCTTTCATCCTGTGAGTTTTCATTGTCACTAATATTTGGAAGAGTTTCACGCTTCTTTGGTCGCGAAAAGTTTATTTTTTTTAGTGGGGCTGGGGTTGCTGATTTGCGTGATTTTTTCCAACTGCAGAATGTGCTTGTGCAAGATATTTTATTTAAACCGAGCTGTGCACACGCAACAAGCTTAAACAACAAAGCACCGATGTGACTACACACAGAGCCCAATCTATAGTTTCAAAAATGTATAACCAATTAAATTTCTTAAAATACTTGTTTAAAATAAAATTAAAATTAAATTATTTAATTAATGTACATACCCTGCCATGCATTTGCAATTTGCCGTTAAAATCCACCCATTAACTTTATTTATTGCAACCCACACTTCGTAACATTTCTGCTTCTTTCCTTGTCTTTGACTTGGAAGCACCTTTAATAAATTAAAAGTTGAATAAATAAGTAAAAACGTATATCATTTTACATTTTACTCAAAATAAATTTTATGGTTTTAACTTTTCAAACACTTTTTTTTTGCACTTTGACTGTGAACTTTACTTTGTAATATGCAAAATTACCTCAGATTTAATGAAACAAAATTCATTCGTTTCTTCAATTAAATTATAGTATACATCTTAAACATGCCCACAAATGTAAAAGTTGTACGATTCCAATGATTTATAGGCTTTCATTGAATCGTGTGTAAAGTTACTTGGGGAGTTAATAAGGTAATTGTACATGTCACCCCATGTAATGTCGGGCATCATTGAAACGTCGTTTTTCCAATTTTCAAGTACGAAAGGGTCAGGGAGTAACATTCCATTTGACAAAGTTAATTTTTTTTATATGCATCTTTATTGTTTTCTTCTAATGTTAAAAAGTAATCAGATTCACTCCACATTTTTTTTTGCGTGTTTTCTTTCTATCCTGCCAGTGTCCTTTGCGTCCGAAAAAATGTAAACGCGCGACGTCACTTTGAAATTCATCTATACACTCTGGATCACTAAGGGCTTTAAAAAATCGTCTAAAATTAAACAAAAACTATATATAAATTTTTTGAAAACAAAAACACCTAAAAACGAAAAAATTTACAAGGACTACAAAAATCTATTTGAAAAAATTCGCAAAAATCTAAAAAAAAATTATTACTCCCAATTACTCAATACATTTAAAAATGACACAAAACGCACATGGCAAATAATGAATGAAATTATTGGAAAACAAAAATCATGCTCAGGTTTTCTGCCGCAAATGGTTAGAGTCGATAACAAAAGTTTATACGAACCAAGAACTATAGCTCAAGAATTTAACAAATTTTTTATCGATATAGGTCCAACACTTTCTAAAAAAATCCCAAAGACCAAATCTTTATTTACTGATTTTCTAGTACCCATTAATAATTTCCTTTGGTTCAGTTGAGTTGTCTTCTGAATTATTGTTTGAAGAGTTTGAAAGAGCCTTCAAGTCCTTAAAAAAAAATAGAGCAATTGGAGCAGATCAAATAAATGGAAACGTTATTATAGATTGTTTTGAACAGCTAAAAGTTGTTCTTTTTAAAGTTTTTAAAGCTTCTATCCATCAAGGTGTTTTCCCCGAACTGTTAAAAATTGCCAAAATTATTCCTATTTTTAAAGAAGGGAACAAATCAATTATTAGTAACTATCGCCCTATTTCTGTTCTTTCCACATTTTCAAAAATTTTAGAAAGAATTATATATAACAGAGTATACAAATATTTTCATGTTAATAAATTACTTAACATTAATCAATTCGGTTTTAAAAAGGATAGCTCAACTGAACATGCAAATATCCAATTTGTACGTGAAATCTCAAAATCATTTGAAAAATCACAATATACTCTAGGACTTTTTATTGATCTATCAAAAGCTTTTGATACGGTTGATCACCAAATTCTAATCTATAAACTTAAACACTATGGAATAAAAAATAAATTTTTAAAATGGTTTGAAAGCTATTTGTCAAATCGTAAACAATTTGTTCCGAGTAATGACGGTTATCATACCAATTGTCTTTCTATAACATGTGAAGTCCCAAAAGGCTCAATTCTTGGTCCACTCCTTTTCCTAATTTATACTAATGATTTAAATAAAGCCTCTAAGCTAACAAGTATTATGTTTGCAGATGATACTAACTTATATCTTTCTAACAGTGATATCTTTGAACTTTTTAAAACAATGAACAAAGAGCTTATACATGTATCGCGTTGGTTTAAATGTAATAAGTTAACTCTAAACTCTAATAAAACAAAGTGGACCTTATTCCATTCGCTTTCCAAAAAACGGTATTTGCCATTAAACTTACCTAAAAATTTTATTGATCAAAATGAAATAAAAAGGGATTCCGTAACAAAATTTTTAGGTGTTTATCTTGATGAAAACATCACTTGGAATCATTATATCGACTACATAAGCACTAAAATTTCAAAAAACAAAGGAGTTTTATATAAAGCACGAATCTACCTCAATAAGAAAATTTTAATCAAACTTTATTATTCATTAATACACAGTTATTTAAATTATGCTAATATCGCCTGGGGTAGTACAGAAAAAAGTAAGTTGCAACGTCTTTATCGTCGTCAGAAACATGCTATCCGTTTAATCTGCTTTGAAAATCGCTTTTCTCACGCAAAACATTATTTTATTGAAATAAGAATTTTAAATATACACGAGCTAAATATATATAATGTTTTATGCTTTGTATACATGCGGAAAAATGACTTGTCTCAATCTGTCTTCAAAGATATTTTTACTCCGAAACCCATCAACAAATACAATTTGAGAAATACTGATTTTTTAAATGAACCTTTCTGTCAAATGAACTTTAATCAATTTTGTATTGCCTATCGGGCACCACACCTTTGGAATAAAATTGTTTTGCCCAATTTTGATTTCAAACTACCCATTACTTTTCGTTTTTTTAAAACTAAATTAAAAACCCTAATTTTTTCATTAGAAGACATATTATGTTATTATTAATAATATAAATTAATAACTTTGCCTTTTCTTATTTATATTTGTAAAAAGTTTATTCTTACTTATTTTGTTGATTTTATATTCTTTACTTAACATATACGTTTATATAAAATATTGGTGAGTAGATCCGCGTGATCTCTCTTTGGATTATATAATACATATTTGGATTATATATATATGAATTTTGTAAAAATTTGATACTGTTAATGCTTGTTTGAACTTATTTAAGGTTCTGACGACAAGATCCTTTGATCTTCATTCAGATACCTTATTTTATATTTGTGAAAGTTTATTATTATTATCATTTTTTTTTTTTTTTGGCAATATATAGTTGTAATACGACTAACAAATGTACAATTTAAATAAAAAAAAAAAAAAAAAAAAAAAGAGTAAACCTTTTTTAGTGATCATTTATAGATATAATGGTTTTCCTGTTGATAAATATGATTTAAGATGCATAGTAAAAGGGTATTTAGAGAAAAAAGGCGTCATTATACCTCAGTTCAAAAATAATTTTCCTGGTGGCGATTGGATTCGATCCTTTTTAAAAAAAAATCCAGAACTCACAGTAAGTTTTGCAAGCAACATAAAGCGAAAGAGAGCAGAAATAGGAACGACTATGATTGATAACTACTTTATAAATCTATCAAATGAAATAAGTAATATATCACCTGATAGTATATGAAATTATGATGAAACCAATCTCAGTGATGATCCAGGTAAAAAAAAAAAAATTAACAAAGCGTTGATGTAAGTATCCTCAACGCATCATTAATTCTACAAAGACCTCATTCTCTGTAATGTTTTGTGGCAATGCTAATGGTGAATTGTTACCAACTGATGTCGTTTACAAAGCTGAGTCGTTATGGAATACATGGATGGAACATGGGCCACCAAAAGCACGTTATAACAGATCAAAAAGTGGTTGGTTTGACTCAACATGTTTTGAGGACTGGTTTTTCTCTTTACTTCTTCCAAGACTTATGAAGACTCAAAGAAGAAGTGTCATTATAGGTGATAACGTATCTTCACATTTGAGCATTGCAGTACTGGATGCATGTCAAAGCAATAACATAGATTTGATTTCCTAGACTATTCGACCGTTTAATTACCAACTTAAGTGAACATGGTAATGATAACCTTAGAGCTGGTTTTTGCAAAACTGGATTTTTTCCATTAGACAAGTCTCAAGTGCTTTCACGACTACCATGTTGTAATGTAGGTTTAGACTCAACTACTGATTTAGTAAGCCAATCATTTTTAGATCATTTATGTAAGTTATGCGGTAGTGGTGTAGTGGTAGAGCGCTCGCTTCATAAACGAGTGGTTCCGAGTTCGATCTTTACCACGTCCCTGGTAGTACCGCGCTCAACTCGTTTCTCCGCGCAGTGGCCTTGTTCGTCAAGGTTCGTGTTTCGGAGTTATAAAGTTGAGAGAGGGTTATAGCCACAAAATAAGTAGCCTCCTCGTCTGTAGTGGCCTTCTCGACCTTGAGGAGGTGAATTAAAATTAAAAAAAAAAAAGTTACTGGATGATCCCTTAGATGGTTCTAAAAAACCAAAGCGATGTAAAGTATGTATTGTCCCAGGTAAAAGCTTATGTTCAACAAATATATCACCTTGTGTTATAAATAAAAAATATAGATTAAATTCAAATAATGTAGATACACCTATCAGTATTATAAATACAATTGAGACCAACAACATTGAGTTTGCTGGTCCAAGTACAAATACTGGAACTACTGAGACTTCTAATCTAATTTTTGCAGATGTAAGTTTAGTTGTAGAAAGTCATACAGAATCTTTAGATCATTCAGCATTAGGCAAAAAGAACTTTCAAAATATTGATAAAACAAAAAATGCTTGTAAAAAGGAGAAATTATTAAATCTTGTAGAGAATTGTTATGTAATTGTTAAATGCAATGGAGAGTTAAATCCTGGACAGATTTGTTTATTTATTTTAAGTTATTTATATTTAGCTAATCAATTAGTAAACTTTATGACTAATTAATTTAATAACTTATATTATTTAATGAAACTTTTGAAATTTTTTTTTCTGCAGTTGAAAAAATTAAGAAAAAATGGAGCAGAAATTACTATTATGAAAAAAATGGACTTAACTGGAAATGGTCACTACCAGCAGAGCAACTTTTTTTTCCTTAGTCGATTTTATTGAGGAACCAAAGAAAATTTCGGAAAGAGGAATTTATTCAGTTCCAGAACTTTATACCTAAACTGTTTTGTTTACTTGGTACCTATACTTGTTTAGTTTATACCTATATTTTATTTACGAGAACTTTGTTACTAAATCTTTTTTTGTCACTTTATTTTTGTAAATTTATTTTCTTTGCCTAAATATTGTTGTTTTTATTGTTGTTTTGCTTCCTTTAATTCCTTTTTAAAGGGTTGGGCCAAAGTCACCGTAACACATAGGGCGACCTTGGCCCACCATTTAAACCACCTAAAAGATACTTCAGGTAAATAATTTTCAAATGGGAGACAGATAGTTCTAACTTTCCTTTCTATGTGCTTCTAAAAGTACTTAGTGTTTGAGGAAATAACTTTCGTGGCTTTCATGCAATAGACATTAAGATGCAAAATGGGCCAAAGCCACCCAATCTTACGGTATTGTACTTGAATGTTGAGCGCGCTCATAACGAGTTTTAACTACTTTATCTTGGTCTCTTTTTTGCACAGAAAAGAATAGACTACGCGATTTTTGTTTTTTTTATTTGACAGCTTTGTTACTGAAAAAGTAACGCAGTAACTTTTACTCTGAGTACATTTTTAATAAGCTACTTTTTACTTTTACTTGAGTAAACTTTTCGATCGGTAACTTTTACTTGTACTTGAGTAAAATTTCACTCAAGTAACAGTACTTTTACTTGACTACAAT